TAGATTGACTCAAATAGGAGTGAACAGGGAGAAGGGGTGAAATATGATGGGCAGGATTGTGGTGAAAAGATCTAGGAGGATGCTAGGGAGAGGCCAGATATGGAAAGATCAGAAAATCCCTGTAGGTGCTGCCTGCAGTGTCCTCATGGAGATGCAGGTTGTGGGGGACCAGCAACTGTAGTTCAGGGCCCCTACTGGAGATTGCTGAGATTGCAGATGTCTGACACAAGTTCAGAACTCAAGATGAACACTCACCTTTGATTCTGAGAAATGTATGGCTGTTGACCACAGGCTTCTCAGTACAGTTACAGACAAAAACCTGATCCATCAACACTTGAATGTCAGCAAAATGTGAACTGGGATTCTGAAGAGGGGAAGAGAGGGGAATGGTCCTATTGAGAGTCAGTAATATCAACCAGCCAGAAAAGAAAGTCAAGGTGAGGAGGCTTAGGCACTGTCCCTGTCCTCTATCTACCCATATCATTGGTGGTTTCTGAGTCTTCAATAATACTATGTGGCCTCAGTTTCTCAGGTGACCTGAAGTTGCATCTGCCAATGTGTTTTCAGCTTCCATCACTGAAACAGAACACCTGAGACATTAATTTACCTAGAGAAAAGGCATATGTGGGTTCAGTTCCAGAGGTTCCATTCCATGCTTGGTTGGACTCATTGCTTTTAGGTCTCTGTTAGAGGAGCAGGAGGGCAATGGCAGGGAGATGATGGCAGAGAATACTGCTCCCGGATGAAGAAAAAGAAGGAGATTAAGAAGAAAGAGGCTGGCGTTCCACATCAACCACTGAGGGTACCATCCCAGACCCTGAGGTCTCCTCTAGGCCTCACCTCTTAAGGGTCCCTCCTCCTCACAGTAGCATCACCACAAATGTCAACAGTATGGGTCTCTGATAGAATGGGAGGACCCCATGAGCCCAAGAAACCAGCACATCAATGCAGATGCAGGGACACTGTGAGCCCAAGCCTGAGGGGTCACTTCACCGTGACCACTACCTAGAAACACAGGCACCAAACTGCGTGCCCTGCAAGAAGCAGGAGTTGAAGGTCCACCTGGAACACTGTGCATATGCAACCTGTGAAGAAGAGAAATCCCAATATTCTGATCTGAGCCCACTCTGCACTATCTCTGTTCATGCTGGGTATGGGATAGCCAGGAGGGAGAGGTGGAGAGTAGCAATGAGGACTGATGGGGAAGGAATGAGGAAGAACTCAAAGAGCAGGTCAAAAGTTGGAGACCTATGAACTCTCCATGAATTGCTCATTGATTTCTGAAAAAAGTGACATGATTTCTGTCATATAGTTTCATTGGTTTTCAGAAGCAAACATATATATACTAAGTTAATATTCCAAATTGGCCCTTAATTCCATACAGTTACCCCGACTTCATGGAGGCCACAGCTCAGTGACAGACCAGGACATGGTGGCCTCTGTCACCTCTTTCCTCTTTCCCCCACTGTTGAGAGCCACAGCCAAAGGGGCCCCAGCAAACTTCCGGCTGCCGGCTGATGATTGGCTCACAGCAGCCCCAGCAACATCTAGCTGATTGGCTCCTC